TCTAAGGCAGAGAAGGCCACTAGAGATAAGGAGGCTACTTATATTTAGTTATAACCCTTTCTCAACTGTATAACTCTGAAACATGAACCTTGGCGAACAAGGCCGCTGCGTGGAAAAACTACCAGGGACATGGTAGGGATCCAACTTATAATTACTTGCTTATGAATCAAGCGCTCTACCACTACAGCACTACTGCAAACTGCTTTAAAACCGCTTTTTGGGAGAGCTTATGTTTGTTGCACAAGCTATCGGTTTGTTTATGTAAAAATTACTTATTAAATACAAAATTTAGTCTTATACTTGTTACAAGCATATATTTGCTATGTTAAAATAGTATACACATAACAAGCTTCATTTATTGCACTGTGAAAAATACTTCAGACAAATTTTTTTTTGTGCAAAAACCGTGCCTGTTTAATATCTAATAAATTGAATATTTTTGACTTGCATTTTTTATTTTTAGTTACAATAATAATTAAACTTTTAAGAGAAAAAAAAATACTTTTGCAAGAGCTGTAAATTGCTCCTTTATACTGTTTAAAGGGAGTGTAGGCGATAGCAGGACTCTCTCATGTGGACTCTCTTAGTATTGGCGAGGGCGGGACTCTCTCGGCGGGAAGCAAGAGCTTCAACTATTGCTTGCCGCCAATATATATATCTATTTGTATATATATATATATATATATATATATATATATATATATATATATATTATATATATACAAATAGATATATATAAATATATATATATATAAATATATATATATATATATATATATATATATATATATATATATATATATATATTTATATACTTAAAATTATTATTATCTTAAAGTAACTTTAATTTTTTATAAATCAGTCAATGTTGTTAAATTGAGATTTTTGCGGAGTTCAAGAAAAGTTTCTTTTTATTGTTTGCTTGATTTACTGTTAGAATGCATATTGCAGTATTATTAATAATTTTATAAAAAACAAATTTTGTTTACAAAATAAGTTTTTGTAAACAAAAACTTATTTTGTAAACAAAATAAGTTTTTGTTTACAAAAATAATTTTTTTTTCTAACAGTGAAAAAATATCAAACTAAGATTTGTTCTAGTTTAATCATTGTTATTTTGTAGATGTGGATGAATGCAACTATCTGTGTCAAGGTGATGGTCTTACATGCAATAATTTTAATGGATCATTTCAGTGTATTTGTCCTGTTGGATTTTCTTACAATTATACAAGCTTTCAATGTGAAGGTATTTTCTATATAAATCTGATTATAATTCTTTTATGCTAGGTTAATTAGTACTACTAATACTCACTTTCTAAACAATTTGTATTATAATGTCTGCCTACAGCTTTTGTGGAAGTGGATATGTATTAATAAAAATACTTACAAATTATCTTAAAGTAGCTTTTGATTGTTCTTGATTTTTAGCTGTCTTAAAATTTGAAATCCGCACACTTTGTAGTTCCTAATTTGTTTTGTCTCTTAGTTTATGATTAAAAAGCTAAACTCCAGGTTTTGAGGTTTATCTTTCAAAATCATTTCTAAGAATGCAACAAAAGTAATTTGAAAATAAAGTGACAAGGATTTCAGACTCTAAAATAAAAAAATATATGTATTTAATATTTTATAAGAACTGATGTTTGAGGAAAAAAACTGTGCATATATATATAATATATATATATATATATATATATATATATATATATATATATATATATATATATATATATATATATATATATATATATATATATATATATATATATATATATATATATATATAAACACATGTTACATAAAGATTTATTTTTGTTTGCTATCAATAATAACATGTCATATCATTGAATAATCTGCAAACATTGCTAGCATATATATATTTTTTGCACTACACATAAAAAACAAACTCCAAGAGTTGCATTTTTGACAGAAACTCTAAAGTTCTTTAGAGTAATAAAGCAGTTTAGAGTAATAAAGCAGTTTAGAGTAAATAATAAAGTAAATAAAGTTCATAAAATAAATATGCTGTATCAGATACAAAATCAATTTCATTTTTACTTGTATTACTTTCCTCATTGCAGTATATTTGCTTATAGAAAGTTTTAAACAACACTAATTACCTTCTTTTTCAAAATTTTACTTGGAATTCAGTTAGTAACACAGAAAAAGAATATTACTGACAAAAATAATTTTTTTTTTAAGATTACTCCAATATTAATAACATTAATTTAACATTAATAGTTAAATCAAAGAAAAACAAATAGTGGCATACAGTGAAAAAATATCAAACTAAGATTTGTTCTAGTTTAATCATTGTTATTTTGTAGATGTGGATGAGTGCAAACTATCTGTGTCAAGGTGATGGTCTTACATGCAATAATTTTAATGGATCATTTCAGTGTATTTGTCCTGTTGGATTTTCTTACAATTATACAAGCCTCCAATGTGAAGGTATTTTATATATAAATCTTGAAAATTTTTTTAAAACAACATTTAAAAACAATGACATTTTAAAACTGTTGGAACTGTGATGTTAAATATTCTTAACCCTAACCCTGACATTAATTTTTGATGTCAATATACTGACAAATAAAGATTTTTATTTTTTAAAATTTATTAACGTGTATTTATGAGAAGCATAACAGCGTGATAATTTTATACTAAAGTACCTATTAGCGTATTTTTATAACAAATTTATTCTTAGCTGGAATATACTGAACAATTCTACTAGATAAGTTTAGAATTATCACAATATTGTTAGGTTTTTTGTTTTTATCTAATTTTCTCGACCTGACATCTGACATTGCTAAGTTAGTTTATTGTGGTTTGCACTATGCAGTCCTAACTAACATTCCTTTGGTCATTGGGTCAACAATTTTGTTTTTTAATGTTCCATTTTTCAGTGGTTATAAGCTATTAGTAAAAAATCACATTTATTGTCTCATTTTTTTTTCTTTCTATTCTCTGCTACTGATTTAATATTTGTATATTTTTTTATCTCTGGTTTATCATTGTTTAATTACTCTGAGTCTGTTTTGTGTGATAGCTATTGTCTCTACTTATCAGGCATATGAGAACATATGAGAACATACTATTGTTCCTGCAGTTTGGTGATACACTTACCACAGTTACATGTGGATTTACCATATTTTCTATCATATTTTCGACTAACTACTTTTGTACTAACCACAAAACTTCTTAACTTAGTATCAATGTTTATGAGTGGTATTTACTTATTATATTTATAAGACATATTTCAGCCATAAAAGAATTGGTAAGCTGCTTTTAATTATTAATTACAATTTTCTATTTGCTTTGAATTATTTCTACACATTAAAATTGTTAATTTTGATACATGCGCATACGTGCATATGTACAAGTTTGTCTCTTCTAAAGTAAATGTACATTATATTTATGTGTTTACATAATTGTTTATGGTCACAGCATGTGCATCTCTCACAATCCTCTCGATATCTCTAAGAATATTAGAGTTGTATTAAAAACTGGGGTAGGGATTGAGTTTTTTGGCTTGTGTAGTGTAGTCCTTTTAAATTGCAATATTGACTAGCATAAGGTAGAGTGCAGGCGATGTGATCTGTTGCAAGGGCACACCCTTGATGAGTAGCATTAGTGCAGGTCTCGGGCTTTCCAAAATGTCATTGGTGATTGCAGTGCATTCTTGAGAAGGGAGATCACCATTCATCCACTACTTAACTCCAATTGGTTATTATGGCACCAACATTTTTTTAACTCTTACAACCATGAGTTTTTTGCGCTTTGTGAGCTTTTTATTATGATTTCGTTACATTAACGACATTTATATATTCTTATGTTACTCAGGTGACTACCAGTTCTCAATTAATTATCTAGAGTTTAGACCGTATATAGTACCAGATTTATTAGAGCTTTTTTTTTATATTGCTCTAACTATCATTTATTATCATTTTACTTAATATTTTTTTATCTACTTATTGTTTTTGTATGGTGCAATTATTTTAGTAATGGATACCATTAATAAACCAGCGGATTTATATTGATTTATATAAATTTTTTTTTGTGCAAAAACCGTGCCTGTTTAATATCCAATAAATTAAATATTTTTGACTTTGTGTTTTTTATTTTTAGTTACAATAATAATTAAACTTTTGAGAGAAAAAAAGTACTTTTGCAAGAGCTGTAATTTGCTCCTTTAAATCGTTTAAAGGGAGTGTGGACAATAGCAGGACTCTATTATGTGGACTCTCTTAGTATTGGTGAGAGCGGGACTCTCTCGGCGGGAAGCAAGAGCTTCAACTCTGGCTTCCCGCCAATATATATATATATTTGTATATATATATGTATATATATATGTATATATATATATACATATATATATATATATATATATATATATATATATATATATATATATATATATATACTTCTTTTTTTTTTTTATTATCTTCGCTTCCAACAAAGCTGCAAGCAACCACTAATTAGTGTTGGAAGTTACTGGAAGAGAAAAGATAAAGATTGGAGAGCAAGATAACAATTGACAGACGACTTAAAAGATTGCAAATTATATGAATCAGGAAAGCAAGATGAAGGAAGTGAATTCCAAAGAACTGATGTTCGAGGAAAAAAACTAGACAAATAAGAGTTTTTGGAACACTTAGGAACAGTAACAGAAAAAGGATGAGACTTAATTGAATGACGAGTAACATGAGAATGAATTTTAGTAGATGGCACAAGAGACGCTAGCTCTTTAGAGCAGTGCCCATTATAGTATTTGTAGAAAAGAGAAGGAGAAGCAATATTACGACAATGTGACAGAGGTTGAAGGTTGGCTGCAAGAGCAGCTCCAACTATTTTTACAATGCGTTTTTGCACCTTGTCTAAAAGAGAAAGGGCATCATTAGAAGATCCGCCCCAGATATGGCAACAGTATTCCGTACAAGGCCGGGTTTGAGATTTATAGAGATAGGAAATAGAATCCAGAGTAAGAAAGTGATGAGCTCGATAAGGAGAAGCAACTTTAGCAGATGCTAATTTTGCAACGGATTTGATATAAGGTTTCCAAGAAAGATCAGAAGTAAGAGTTAATCCTAGAAGATGAAGGGTAGGTGACTCATCAAGTACATTACTGTTTATAAATATAGCAAGGTCTAAATTATTGCGATAACGATTGGCCGAAAAAAATTGAGTTTTATCTGAATTAAAGTTCACCAGCCACTGTGAGCCCCATGCTGTAGCAGAAGTGAGATCCTTTTCAAGCTCAGATGCCCCCTGCAAGCAATCAGAGGGAGTTGGCTTCTTAACGTGACAATAATAAATGGTAGTATCATCAGCAAACAATGCCACCTTAGATGTGAGAATATCTGGAACATTGTTAATGTAAATTAAAAAGAGTATAGGGCCAAGGATTGAACCTTGGGGAACCCCTGAGGTTACAGAATAAGAAGAAGAGTGCTGTCCATCAAGGACAACTTTTATACTACAATTGGAAAGAAAGGATTCAATAATCTTAAAGATGTTTCCAGATACACCATAAGAAGAAAGCTTATGGAGAAGACCAGCATGCCAAACTTTATCAAACGCTTTAGAAATGTCAAGAGCGATGGCCTTAACCTCTCCACCTCTAACCTCTTTATCTAATGCACAATAAAACCTATCGGTTATTACTGATAGCAAATCAGCCATAGAACGAGAAGGTCGAAATCCATATTGATGATCAGAAAGTAGGTTATGAGATTCGAGATGAGAGATTAAGTGTTTGTTAATTAAAGTATCAAAACCTTACTTATGATAGGAAGAAGACTAATGGGACGATAGTTAGATAAATCAGATCGCTCTCCAATATTTTTAAAAATAGGGATAACAGATGCTGCTTTTCAGCAGGCTGGAAAACAAGACTCTTATAAGCACTTGTTTAATAGTTTTGAAAGGATAGACAACAGCTCCGGAGAACACTTCTGCAAGACTATAACAGGTATGTTGTCCGGGCCGCAAGCTGTAGAAAAGTCTAAGCAGGAAATCACTTTAGATACAGAAGCTGGAGTGATACGAATGTCGAGCAATGGATCAACCTGTTTCACGGCTATATCAGGTAGAACGCAACTAGTGGCATCAAGAGATGATATTGATGAAAAGTTTTTAGCAAACAATTCAGCTTTGTCTTTAGGTGAGGTGACAAAGTCTGAACCGTACAAAAGAGGTGGAATTACAGACTTGCCCTTATTATTGGTACTATAAAAGATTCTCCAGAAGTCACCAGAGCCTAATTTTTGAGATGAAATACAAGATTTCATGATCCGAGAATAGCGAGCTTTGGCGTTAGACAAAACCTTTTTACAATGGTTCCTAGCAGTAATTAACAGACGTCTGTTTTTTGGAGAATTGTTTTTCTGATAGATATGGAAGTAACGGTTTCGATTGGCAATTGCAGCAGCACAATGTGAAGAAAACCATGGGGAAGAGTGAGGCTTGACCTGGAATCGTCGAGAGGGAATAAAGGATTCCATGCCAGCCTGAATACACGAAGTTATGTAAGAAGCACATTTTTCAACAGGGAGACGAAAGATTTCTATCCAGGAGCCATCACAAAGAAAATCACGGAAAGAGTCCCAGTCAGCTTTAAGGTAGTTGTAAGATGTACGATGATAGGTGGATTCTGATGGTAAAGAAGAATGAGATTATAGTTTTAGAGAGACCAAACCATGATCAGATGCACCTAAGGGTGAGTGTGAAGAAACTGAGCACTGACTAGGATCAGAAACAAGACATAAGTCGAGTAGAAAAGGTAAATGATTCGGGTTGTCTGGAAAGCGAGTTGGAAAGTTGACTATTTGAGTTAGGGATTGAGAAAGACAAAAGTTGTGGGCCTTAATGCCTGCAGAGTCACTGACACTTGAGCCAAGCCATTCAGTGTGATGAACATTAAAGTCACCGACAACAACAATATTGGCTGATGGATAAAGAATGAGGGCTTGGTCAATATATTCAGAAATAACATCAAGAAGAATGCAGTCTTGAGATGAGGGAGAGCGATATAGAACAAAGATAAAAGTGATAGAGTGAAGTGGTTCTAAACGAAAGCACAAACAGTGGATTCAAACCTAGTTTCCCGACAAATGGGTGAATTCTTACGAATGTAAATGCCCAGGTTAAGCATGTGACTATTGGAGTCTTTACGAATTAAAGGAAGATAACTATCAATACTAAGATCACAAGATGAAACAGCTGAACTCAAATTAGTCTCACAAAGAGCAAGTAGGTCTGGTAAACTTTGCAAGAGGTAAGACTCAATAGAAGAAAAGTTACTTCGAAGACCACGAATATTGGTGAATGATAGGTTTAGCGAACTTAGTGATGATGTGGTTTTTGGTGTTTTATAGTTTTTGTTACTTTATTCATTTTTAGATTTGTTAAAGAACTTGACTCGAAACATAGATAGTACTAAGTACACTGTTTTATAGCTCAAGCAATTGCCTCATTTCCACTCATAAACCCTAAGCCTTAACAAAGGGCTCAAATGTGGCCTTGGCAATGCACACTAAAAGTACAAACAGGGACACCATCCATGTGCATTATGGCACTGTTAGTACTCTGATATTTTTCAGCTGTTGATAAAATCAGCCTCTCTGAGAGCTACCACAGAGTTTGGGAAACCTGACTACCAGCCGGCCTCAGAACCATAAAACTGAGTTTTAGAGCTGTACCCTCATTTGGAGATAATAGAATGAGTTGCCTAGTCATAAAAACAGACACAAGCAAAACCCATGAATCGAGTCAAGAAGATCCAGCGTTCAACACCCTAAACTGGAAACAATGTATTAAAAATACATCTGCGCCAGCCTAATAGATGAGGAAGGGGTGCGAGGCTGGTCAACAGATAGAATCTGTTTATGATATCTGTTTAAGATAATAATACTTAATAATAATACTTAATAATACTATAATAATAATAATACTATAATAATAATAATAAGATAATAATACTTAATAATACTATAATAATAATAATAAGATAATACTAAATAATACTATAATAATAATAAGATAATACTTAATAATACTATAATACTTAATAATACTATAATAATAATACATAATACTATAATAATATAATACTATAATAATAATGATATAATACTTAATAATACTATAATAATAATAAGATAATACTTAATAATACTATAATAATAATAATAAGATTACAATACTTATGTTATCTGTTTAAGATAATAATACTTAAAAGTATTATTATCTTAAAGTAACTTTAATTTTTTATAAATCAGTCAATGTTGTTAAATTGAGATTTTTGCTAAGTTCAAGAAAAGTTTCTTTTTATTGTTTGATCGATTTTCTGTTAGAATATATATTGCAGTATTATAAATAATTTTGTAAAAAACAAATTTTGTTAACAAAATAAGTTTTTGACATATTAATGAAATATTAATAGTTAAATCAAAGGAAAACAAATAGTTTTTGACATACAAATGAAATATTATTAGTTAAATCAAAGAAAAACAAATAGTGACTATCAGTGACAAAATATCAAACTAAGATTTGTTCTAGTTCAATCATTTTTATTTTATAGATGTGGATGAATGCAACTATCTGTGTCAAGGTGATGGTCTTACATGCAATAATTTTAATGGATCATTTCAGTGTGATTGTCCTGTTGGATTTTCTTACAATTATACAAGCCTCCAATGTGAAGGTATTTTCTATATAAATCTTGAATAAACTTTTTAAAAAACTACATTTGAAAACAATGAAATTTAAAAACTGTTGGAACTGCGATATTAAAAATTGTTTGACATTAGTTTTTTTGATGTCAATATGCTGACAAATAAAGAGTTTTTTTTTTAATTTTTTTTTTAACATCTTGGCTTTCAACATGGCTGCAAGCAACCACTATTAGAGTTGGAAGTTACTGGAAAAGAAGAGATAAAGATTGTAGAGCAAGATTGAAGATTGCAAATTATATGAAGCAGGATGAAGGAAGCTAATTCCAAAGAACTGATGTTTGAGGAAAAAAATTGTTTGCATGTATTTTTTTTTTTTGCACTACACATAAAAACAACTCCAAGAGTTGCATTTTTGACAGAAACTCTAAAGTTCTTTAGAGTAATAAAGTAATAAAAATAATTTAGAGTAAATAAATTTCCTTACAAAATAAATATGCTGTATCAGATACAAAATCAATTTCATTTTTACTTGTATTACTTTCCTCATTGCAGTATATTTGCTTATAGAAAGTTTTAAACAACACTAATTATCCTTTTTTTCAAAATTTTACTTGGAATTCAGTTAGTAACACAAGAAAAGAATATTAATGATAAAAGTAACTTTTTTAAACATTACTTATCTTATATATATGTATATATATATATATATATATATATATATATATATATATACACATATATATATGCACTTACTAAAGCGTGTTTTGATAACCATTTGCTCACTTTTTCTGCTTACCTTCAGCTATACCGTTTTTTTCGAAAAAGAAGAAGAAAAAAGATGAATGATGAATGAAATGATTGCTTCCTCATCCCAAACCCTCAGTCGATGTAGCAGCACTCCACTGCAAGTCAAGCTATTTGTCAGTTGATGTATGTACTGAAGCCCCTAGCAGCAGGCTATTTCAGTATGACGTCAGATTGCTTACAATAGTATGCAATACTATTTGTATATATATATATATATATATATATATATATATATATATATATATATATATATATATATATATATATATATATATATATATATATATACTATATTATTAAGTCAATTTAAATTTGGACTGAATTGTAAGTTTATAAGCATTTTACTATAATATAGTAAACATCTGATATGTCAGTATTTTCTTCACCTAATAAAGGTATGTCTCATGGTAATTTTTTTTACCATGAGACAACCTCCTACTTTAATACATTAAGCCTTAAAAAAATAGACATGAAGCTATATTAATTGTAGAAATATTTGGAATATTAACACATAAGATAGCGTCTGAAATACAGTTTTCTTAATATGCAAGAGTTATTGGTTATGTACTATGTGTAATATGCTATTTATAATTTCAATTATTTTTTCAATATGAAAAACTTCAGAATAAGATATTTTGTTTTAGCAATTGCTTAATGACATTTTTTTATTTACAAAAAAATTAAAAATATTTCCCAAAATTCTTTTTTAACTTCTCCCTTTTTCCTCCCTCTTTTCCCACTCTCAACACCCATTGAAACATTTATAAACAAAAGAAGGCAGAGAAGCAAGCTTAATGGCTGTAGCTTATCATTGTTTAAAGTTTAAAACAACTGATAAAATATCTTGGGTAAAAGCCATAAAATAGTCTTTCTTTAAATAAAAAATTAACAATTACAAAAAGGTTTTATATTTAATATACATATATACATGAAAAAGGTTTTATATTTAATATACATATATACATGAAAAAATGTTAAAAAGCCCCCCTCCCCCAAACCTCTCAAATATATACATGATTGCAAATGGTTAAAATCAACTCTTCCTATCATTTTTACCAAAAAGCAAAACATAATGTAAAAGTAAATAGATCAAGCTACAAAAATAACTCTTATTGTGTTTTTAAAATTTTTTTAAGTGACCCTGCCCCTACTATAAATGCAAAAACTTGAATTTTTGCATTTTTAGACAGCTGGGACCAATTTTCATCTGCACTGGTGGAAAAAAGTGTTATTATTTAAGTTAATTTAAGTAAAAGTTCATCTTTTGTCGCTTTGCCATTTCCAACAAAATGAAATGTACTTTTTAGTCATACCCTTTAACCCTTTATATATATATATATATATATATATATATATATTGCATTATAGTATATATATATATATATATATATATATATATATATATATATATATATATATATATATATATATATATATATATATATATATATATATATATATATATTTTTTATTTTAATTCACCTCCTCAAGGCCGAGAAGGCCACTACAGACGAGGAGGCTACTTATTCGTGGCTATAACCCTCTCTCAACTCTATAACTCCGAAACACGAACCTTGACGAACAAGGCCGCTGCGCGGAGAAACGAGTTGAGCGCGGTACTACCAGGGACGTGGTGAGGATCGAACTTGGAACCACTTGTTTATGAAGCGAGCGCTCTACCACTACACCACTACCGCATATATATATATATATTATTTTATACCGCATATATATATATATATATATTATTTTATATATATATATATATAAAATAATTTGATTTTTTTAAATCTTGATTTAAAAGTAGTAAAATTTAAACTGTATATTTATTATATATTCAAACACAGATTTTTTGTTCTTCAAAAATGAGTATAACTTATAAGGGTCTGCCCATAGTAAATGAGTATAACTCATAAGGATCTGTCCCCTTCCCTCCTCCATCATTATCAATTCTTGTTAAACGTTTCAGTACCACCTCCCCCTATATTTACTGAAATCATTTATTGATGGCCCCTAAGCGTTTTAATTTTTAGTTTTTAACTTATAGAGGAAAAAGTGTTGCAAAATGTCAACTAAATTAGAATGTGTTTTAATTTATTAAATTTATCACTTTTTATTTCTTTGCTTATTTAAAACACTTTTTTTTTTTTTTGTTTGCAAAAGGAAATGAATAATTTTTTTCTTGTTTATTTTTTAAGTATCATAATATTTAAAGTTTTAACAGTCAACTTTTAAAAATACTAATGCGTTCTACTCAATGTACTTATTAATGTATATTACTTAAATACAACTACTAGTGTGTTTAAATTATTTTACAAAAATGATTTATAGTTTTCATATGGTTTAAAAGTTTGTTTAATGACAATTGAAATTTTGAGTGCATTTGTGTAAAATGTATTATAATTAGGGTATGTTTATTTTTTAATTGAAAGTTAAAATTTTGTTGTTTAGATTTTTATAAACAAGTTCTTGCTTGTTAATTAATACTGTAATAGTGAAATAATTATTATTATTAGTAATATAAAATTTAGTTAACTGTTTAACTTGTAAATTGGAAACAAAAAAATTTGAATTTTTTTGTTTGAGATACATGGAAAAAAGATTTTTAGTTATACCAAAAGTAAATAAAACTGTTCAATTATGTCAAAATGCTTGAACTATCAATAAAAAGCAGTTATAATTATTTATATACTACTATTGCGGTGTACAAATATATACACATAAGAACTAATTGCTTGATTATTGTACTTTCAATCACCAGAGAGTTGAACACTAAGTTCTTTTTTCAATGTTGTTGTATTTAACCTGATTCTTTTGACTTCACTATTGGAATTGTTACCATTGATAAAACTGATGTGTGAGACAGATCTGAATTGATTTGTATACATAACTTTACATTTTATAATGTGAAGTTGCATGAGCCATATTTGGGTCCAATTGACAATATTATCAATATCAGCTTGCAGACTATGTTTCCTTTCTCAAGTGTTATCTACGCTCAGGATCTTCATTTGCATACATTTTGCAATTATTTTTAGAGTAATGTGTTCTGATAAATGATTAACATAGACTATAATTAGGGTTGGAAAAGAACTAATACCTGAGGAACGCCACTAGAAACCTGTCGTTAATACAATCGGTTGCAACATTTCCAAGAATGACACGATATGTTGCGTTGGAAAGAAAGACACTAATCCAATTTGAAACATTGCCTTTAATTCCTTACAATTTAAGCTTTATTAGTTACTTTTGTGAGGCAGTGTAGGTCAAAAAAATCCACAGTTTTAAGTAAATTTGTAAATTTTTTGCTGACAAACCTGTATTGACAGTGGGAAAGAAGATCATTAGATATTAAGTAATGCATAGTTTAATCTTTAACATCTTTTTCATTGTTTTACAAGGTACATTAGGAATTGAAATCGGTCTGTAGTTTGTTGGGTCAGTCCTGGATCCCTTTTTGAACAAAGGAGTTACATTAGCAACAAGCCATGCTTTTGGTACAATTGCTTGTTTCATTGACATTTTGAAAATCATGGCAAGCAGAGCTGTTGTTATGTTGTCACATGCTTCAAGAACGCATGGGCTTATTTTATCTTTTTCCAGTAGATTTATAAAAGTCAAATGCCTCAAAGTGTTATTGAACAGAATTATAATCAAATGTTAAAAAGATAAACAGAACTACGTTGAGCAAATTGAGAATAAATTTGATTGTGAAGCTCTGTAGTAAAGACAGATTGGAATAGCTTGTTCAGTGTGTTGGCGATCAAACCATTATCAGTACAAAGTTCACCAGAAGGTGAACACATATTGATATGATTATTTGCTATTAATGTAGGCATAAAGTCTTTTTGGATTATTCTTGTCTTAAGATGTTACGTTGTTTTCAAATAAACAAATTGTTAGAAATATTAACTGCCAATGTTAGTAATTAATAAAAGAAAGTAGGTGATTCAATACATAGGTAGAATATTGACAGTTAAAATATATTATAGAAAAGAAGCAATGATAAATATATTATAGAAAAGAAGCAATGATAAATATATTATAGAAAAAAAGCTATGATATAAACTATTAAAAGTTACAATTTTATTTGTACAGATAAAACAGCTCTGGTTTCTGTTTCCTGGATCTAAGTTAAATGCATATATTTACAACCTATAACTAAACATTACAAATTATTATGCAACAATGCGAACAGCCATTAGCCATTAAAATTTTGTCTAAAAATATAAAATACAAAATTTTTAAGGTTTTAGTATTCAAGTAAACTTAATAGCTTGTATTTTAATTGTTTTTTAGATCTAAACGAATGTACTTACTTGTGCAAAGGTGGTAATCTTACCTGTAATAATCTAAATGGATCATACATCTGTATTTGTCCTGTTGGATTTTCTTACAATTATAATAGTTTACAATGTGATGGTTTGTGTTTTATTTTTTCAAAATCAAAGTATGTTTGTATAAATATTTTATAATATGTTTAATATATTTACGGATTTACAAAATAGTTCATATTTTTTTAAATATCTTGCTGATATTAAAAAATAATGTCAAATCAACCTGTCATTGGAGGTAACTACTTGCTTATATATTTAAGTTTTAGATTTTTTTTTTTATGGGACATATTTTTGATATTTGAATTACTCATAAGATAGTAGAAAATTTCCATATAACTGCTTGATAGTTAATTTCTTGCTTTATAGAGTATGTTTTTGAGATTTTTGTATTAATGGTATTTATGTGAGAGTTCCATGATAAATTCTCGTCAAGAAGCACACAAAGAAATATAGATGATTGAGTTCGTTCAATAATTGTGTTATCTATACTAAGAATTGGTAAAATTGATGGGGTAGCTTCTTTTTTTTTTTTTGGTTGGGGTGAAATAAGATGTATTTAGTTTTTTTAAGTTTAATGACAATTTGTTTGCTCTGAACCATGTGTCAAGTTTAATAAGTTCTAAGTTTGCGGTTATAAAGAGGTCACTGATTGAGCTAGAAGAATAAAACAGATTAGTGTTGTCTGCAAAAATTATGCAATCTAACTTAGATGAGACTTTAGGGAGGTCATTGACATATTAAAAATAGAAGAGGAGCTAGAATAGATCCTTGAGGGACCCCATATTTTTAGTTGATTCAAGTTGTTATAGTGATCTATAGTAACATATTGTTGTCTGTTGTCTAGGTAGTTAGCAAACCATTTTATAGATTAATTTTTTATGCCATATTTTTCCTTTTTTTTTTTTAGTAGTATTGCGTGGTCTACTGTGTCAAACACCTTTGTAAGATCAATAAAGACTCCTAATACATCACTAAAGGAAGTCGTAATGTTATTAATGAGATCTAAGATAGCATGTTCCGTTGAATGTTGCGTTTGAAATCCGTATTGATTTTCACATAAGATTTTGTGTCCTATTAAATATTTATACATTCTGTTGTAAATTATTCTTTTAAGGAGTTTAGAAAATATAGGTAGAATGGAGATTGGTCTATAATTGCTTATTGCAGATGTATCTCCACCTTTAAATATAGGTACAATTTTTGCTAGTTTTAATTTGTCTGGGACAATCATGTTTTTGATTGAAGAGCTGAAGATATTAAAAATTGGCCTTTTTGTTGTAGGAAAAACATAAAGCACAACATTGCCAGAGATGTTGTTAAAAAGCATTAACATTATGTACTGTTAACATTTAACATTACATAATTTGAAGTTTATGTGCATTAGATATTTGCATACACTTTTGTTTACGTTTTCTTATAAAACAAAGCTGCTGCAACTCTTTCTCGCCATAACCTCAGTTGCAATGGCTGCCAAGAATTCTGTGTTAAACAGGCTTGAAAGGGTACTACTACTACTACTACTACTACTACTACTACTACTACTACTACTACTACTACTACTACTACTACTACTACTACTACTACTATTAAGCTCAGCATTATATATATATAATATATATATATATATATATATATATATATATATATATATATATATATATATATATATATATTTATATATATATATATACATATATATATATATATATATATATTTATATATATATATATATATATACATATATATATATATATATATATATATATATATATATATATATATATATATATATATATATATATATATATATATATATATATATATATATATATATACACGCACAAACATCATGAATTCATAATTCAATATCTAATTATTTTTTGTAGATGTGAATGAATGTGTTTTTCTGTGTAAAGATGACAATAATATTTGCCATAATTTAAATGGATCATACTTGTGTGATTGTCCTGATGGATTTTTGTTTAACTATACTACTCTACAATGTGATGGTTTGTATTTTTGTAGATGTTATGTCTTTCAGATTTCAAAACGTTATTTTTTTGAAACATTAAGTAATGACTTGATCAAATATTTATTAAAATGTATTTTTTATTTGAATTATAAATAAGTTACCACAACCCTATTAAATGATTTCACGATGGGTTCAAATGTGTTTGTGTATATATAAGCATTTGTATATATCAGAGGCTATTCTAGGAAGAAAATTTTGGTAGTGGTTTCCCCCTCTCTCCACTGTCCTCCCCCCACCTTTCTCATCCTGGAATTTTGTGGAATATCTATAATGTGCAAAATTTTTATAGATATATATAATATGCGAAATTTTTATAGACAAGTTAAAGAAAATTAAAGAACATAATAAAAAGAAAAATAATTATAAAAATGCAAGTAACTTTAAAAAATTGGAAACCAAAATAAGTAAACAAAAAAAAAGGAAGCCGAACAAAAAAATGTAACCATCAAACAATGTTCAAATAAAAATTTTTTAAAAATGAAAACAGACAAGAGAAATACTTTTTTTTAAGTTTTAATTGTTTTTGTTGAGTTTTTGTTTGCTGTTTTTGTTTGAATTTTGTCATTATTATTTGTTATTCGTATTATATTATATTATTATAATTCTTATATAGTTTTTATTTTTATTAAAACATAACTATCAATAATCATTGTCTGTTTCTATACGATATTGTTTTTTATCTCACAGTAAGTTGTTACTTTAAGTCAGTTTTTAATTGTTAGTAACTTTTCTTATTTGTTTATATAATATTCAGTTTTTGTTTAAAAATCTATTAATGATCATATTAGTTTTATTAATTTATCTTGTATGGATTGTTTATACTGTCGTGTATTTTTGTGTATTGTTTGTAATATCGTGTGTTTTTGTGTGTTTTTTATATTGTCGTGTATTTCTATGTTTTGTTTATACTGTGGTGTAATTTTGTACATCGTTTATATTGACATGTACATGTCAATATAAACTTGTATTGTTTATGGTGACGTGCATTTTTTTTTTTGTGGTCTGGTCCTAATAATTTTTATTATTATGTTTGTTGCTATTATTCAAGTTATTTCTTATTTTTTGTCTCATCTTAATATTTAAAGACATCCTTTTGTTTTTTTATTTCATTTTTATTCATTATTTTTATCATCCTTCTGATCTTCAAATATTGTGTTATCTCATTCATTCATTATCTATCATGTCAGTTTATTCACTTTTGCCCTTTTTTGTGTTAATTGTCTTGCTTTTATATATATATATATATTTTTTTTTTTTTCTTTTTATTTTGTTTAATTTTATTCTGTTTGCCATCTATATTACTTTTTTTTCCTTTATTTGTTTATTTTATTAAGGTGTCACTCCAATGACTAGTTTTTAACTTTATGAGTGACACCAAACCTAATTTTGTGAAATTATAAATCATTTTGTAGTTATTTCATATATATGTTTAAATAAATGAATATATATATATATATATATATATATATATATATATATATATATATATATATATATATATATATATATATATGTGTATATATATATGTTTAATTTTGCTGCGAGTATATATTCAGTAAGAGTGCTCAATGAATGATATTAGAGCTATATAATTGATTTTTTGACGAGATTAAATAAAAAATAACTACATAATTTTTACTACTATAAGTTTCATGCGTTTAGCAATCATCAGGTAAAAAAACATTTTTTTTTGGTTAAAAAATATACCATATAATAACATCGTGGCATTCAAAAACAATTATAAAATGTTACTATTTGCAAGCGTGGTTTGGTTTTTTAATCTTTAGGCTCGTGGTTGTCAAGCAAGAACTTGTTTTCAAATTGATAGCCTACAAAAAAACATAATTAAAGTTATTAAAATTATTGGTTTTAAAATAGAGATCCAAACAAACCTACCCGCAGTCAACTTCTTAGATGTCTTTTTTAACTTAGAAAAAACTCCTATCAACCTTTCAAAAAACCAAATGAATATCTACGTTACATTCACACTAATTCTAACCATCCTCCGCAAATAATAAAGCAAATTCTGATAGCGATCAACGACAGATTATCACAAAATTCCTCAAATGAAAAAACAATTTATCTATACCAGAATATGAAGATGAATTAAGAAGAAATGGCTTCACTGGTTTTAATTTAAAGTATAATCCCCAAAAAAGAGAAAAAGAGAAAAAAAAAAGAAATTTAATATGGTTCACCTCCCCGTATAGTAAAAGCGTTTCTACCAATGTCGAACATATCTTCCTAAACTTATTCGACAAACATTTTCCAATATCCCACTCCCTAAATAAACTATTCAATTGAAACGCCATCAAAGTGAGTTACAGCTGTACCAAAAATAAGGAAAGAAATATAAAAAGCCACAACAAGAAAATCATTTCAAAAAGACCAAAAGAATACCCACCCTGCAATTGCATAAATAAAGAAAACTGCCCTATAATAGGAAAATGTATATATATATATATATATATATATATATATACATATATATATATATATATATATATATATATATATATATATATATATATATATATATATATATATATATATATATATATATATATATATATATATATATATATATATATATATATATATACATTTTCCTATTATAGGGCAGTTTTCTTTATTTATGCAATTGCAGGATGGGTATTCTTTTGGTCTTTTTGAACTAATTTTCTTGTTGTGGCTTTTTATAATGCAATAATTTGGTATAACAACTTTTTTTATAAAAAGGCTCTTTATAATGAATAAAGTACTATGAATTATTAAAACCCCTAATAAAATAATGTAATATTTATTATAATACAATATATTTAATAAACAATAATAGTTCTAATAATATTTTGTTGATTCTAATTATCTTTATTAATTTATGATCCTAATCTAATAATTTACAAATAACACACTATAATGACCAAAAAAGTTGAAGAAAGACAATTTATATTCAATACCAACATTGCTGAAGTTGTTTTGTGAAGTTCATTTTTCTTGAACACCAACTAACACTAATTAAAGGGTTAGTGTTAAATATAAATTTTTTAAAATATTGATGTTTTGTTTCATTTCTCAGTCAAATGATTCAATGGTTAAAATAAAATGGTTAAAATAAATTATAATAGTTTTTAACTCGAGCCTTAATCAATTGGCCATTTAATCAATTCTTGTGCACATTCATTTCATTATTTGTGCCACCAGCCATTTCATCTTAAAACAACAAAAGCAGCAGTGTTACATATTAAAACATCAACTACAACAAAAGGACCAGAGATACATTTTATGAGTCAATTGATGCATTTTCTGTGCCTCATTTTAATAACAAGTAAATTAAAACAGCTTTTAGCTGAATAAAATCTAGCAAAAAATCAGTTTTTCTTCACAATGGCAATATACTGCGTCATAGCAATCTATACTGACTTGTTGCCATTTGATAAAAAATGAAAGTTGTTGGCAATGAAAGTTGTTGCCATTTTTATAAGACAATGAAAGTTGTTGCCATTTTTATAAGGCAATTTTAGGCAATGATCATTTTAGGCAGTGATCAGGATGTATGTAATACAACTGTTTTATCTCTGGAATAGTCAAAATTGTACATAGTGCAACTCACAGAAAGACTAGCTATTCATGTCCATGCACAAGTAACATTTAATATTTTCATCTCTACATATGAAACTAAATTTGATTAAGCAGCTGGTCAAGGCCATTGATAAGGAAAGTGCAGCCTTCAAATAACTGATTCAGAAATTTTATGCATTCAGCTTGGCAAAATTAAAAAGGAAATATTTTTATGAACCCAACAGAAGGTAATTACTGCTTTAAGCCAGGTCTCATCATTGAATATTAGGATAACATTTGCTGCTTGGAAAACATTACATTGATTTGGCTTAGATTTTCTAGGCAACCATCCTCCTCCAAACTAAATTTTATTGGATTTTATTTATTGGATACAGAAAGCTTAAAATGCATGCAGTAAAAACATTGCTAGAGGATAGAAATAATAATTTTTTGAAGATAATTTTTTTTCATTGGTTAAATGCTTGCCCCCCCCCCTCCTTCCTAATTTGCTTACATAAGCACATATGTGTGCTTCTTCATAAATTCAGGGGTGGGGTTAAAAATTTTTGGTTGACTTACAATATATTTTCAATAGCACTCTCGGACTCAGGTCACTTTTCTGTAAAAGCTGTTTAAAATGAAAATTTTTCTATTACTTCCTCAAATCTCTACCATGAAATTTGTTTAAATCTTTCATGTAACATGAAAGATTTAAAATTTGGAATATCTTTTCAAGATATCCAAATTTTCATGCAAAAAGTTTATGAACTTTTACGCCATTGTTATTCTTTTGATCAAAACTGATATAATTTTGTAAAATTTATTCTTTTCAGATAAATTATTTGGAGTTCTTATTTGTTATAAACTGATCATCTTTTGATTCATCAAAATGCTTTTTTCTGTTTTAATTTCTTTTCCATTTGTAACTAAAGCTAATTGAAACTGTGAAAACTTTTTCTTAAAATTTATAAAATCATTATTTTTTATATCCAACTATAGTATAGTAGCAAAGGGCATAACTGAACAACAGTAAGTAGATTTGTATTAGCAGTTGGTGCTTTACATATAGATTTGTATTAGCAACACTGTTATTTGCACTTTCAAAACGGTTGCCAAAGTGTAAGGAACAATGTTGTTTCCATTTTTTCTTCAGTTTCAATATTTTTTCCAAGTTGTCAAAATGGACTCATCGTTTCATATATAACCACAATACATGTATGTACTTAAAAGACTTCGTGAGTGTGAGTTTATAAACATATAAACATAAAATAACCATATTTTATTTTGCTTTAAATTGAGAAGTATGCCTTTTAAAGATTATAAAAAAGAGAGTTAAATTTACATTTTAAATAATAAAAATTTTTTTAATTTCTTTTTTTCTTATTTTTTTACAACCTTTGATTAAGTGAAGTAAAAATATAGAATACATTAATTTTCTACTACTGCATACATTATACCATTGTATGCATTATTCTATTGCAATAAATTTAGTTTAGTATAACTTTTCTGTATATTGTAGAATTTTTTTACTGTATATCTACATGTATATCTGTTTTCTGTAAATAACTACATGAAATTAAAAAAATTAATTAAAGACAAAAATTGCTTTTTGAATTATAAAAAGAAACCACATAAATCACAGACATAAGTTTTTAGTAAGTTTACTTTATTTAAATCATTTATTAATTTTTTTTCTGTTCGAAAAAGTAAAATTAATTTTACCTATTTTTATACAAACCTAAATTTTTTTTGAGATACAAATTAAAGCAATTTTTCAGTAATTTTTATGTGATTTTATCTTTTTATTTTGATGATGTTTTTAATTAGGGTAATGTGCCTGTTAGTGTGCCTCTAAATAATACTTTCTATTTTTTATTAATTGTTTTCTTTAAAATAGAATTTATGTTTGGAAGAAATGGTATTGGTATCTACATTGAAGGAAATGTTTTATATGGCAAAAGCATTGAAGTTGTTGTCACTATTGTAAACAGTACAGAATTAAAGATTGAGTTAGATTTTGGTGATGATACACCTCTTAATTTAAAGATTTTTACTCCAAATGTAACTGATAATTCTTCTGTCAGTTTGGTGTTCTCACACAAGTTCAGTTAAATATTCTTTAAAGTTTTAAATTTTTTAACCAATACACAAGAAAAAGAAAATAAATATATCTTTTATTAAATTTATATTCTTCTATTTTATATATTTCCATTATTTTTTTATACTTATTCAAAATTTTGATATTTGTTAGTTAGTTACTAATAATAGTTGCAACACAACTTGGACAAGTGGAACACTATAATTGTTAATAAGGTGCCACAGTAGTTTCTGCCATAAATCCAGCTTGCTCTTGGTTTTTGGCACTGGTTAGTTGACTTGATATTGGCAATGCAGTCTGGAAGTTTGTTTTAAATTGATGTGCTTTTTTTGGTAAAATAATTATTTTTGATTACAGTTTGTAATTATTTCTCTTTGCTTCGATGGGTTGGTTGGATTTGCAGGGAGTCTGCACAAACCGAAGTCTATTTTTATTTATTTTTTTCAATTTTAAAGCTTTGGATTAGATGTTATTCTTCTAGGACTGTAAAATTGAGGATCTTGAGTCTGTTCGTATAAGTATAGTTTTGTAGGGAGATTTTTGTTACTAGGGAGATGTAGGGTAGGGAGATTTTTGTTACTAGGGAGATATAGGGTAGGGAGATTTTTGTTACTAGGGAGATATAGGGTAGGGAGATTTTTGTTACTTTCAGTTGAATTATCATAATTAATTATTGTAAACTTTGCAAATAGTTAAGCTGCTAATGCTGAACTTTATGGTATGCAATTTAGATCTGTCTAATCTGAAACTTTTTTTACTAAGAACTACTTTTTGGCTCTTATTATAATGGAACACCTCAACCAAGTTATATACTAAATCAAGTGTATGATTTTTCTACTGGATTGAGGTTTTTCGAAACTTATGATGCACTTTTTCAAAGGTTATGGTGCACTTTTTCTTATGGTGCTCTTTTTCAAAGGTTTTAATAAAGTTGAGAGAATTTCTAGCACAGCTTTATTTGGAACAAAACGATGTTGGAATTTACAGAACAGTTTCTTACTAGTGAAGTGTCAAATTATTTTTTTTAAGTAATTTTTTTTAGCATCTTGCATACTGCAGATGTTATGGCTGTTATGTTTGTAGTATATAACATTTGGCATACACTATATGTTATAGACTTGGTCACAATTTAGTGATTTATTATAAATTAAAAATGGATTTAACATTTTATGACAAAATTTAATAATTTATAAAGTAAAAAAATGTTTTTATTTTTATAAATTTATTAACATATAAAATATTTTCACATGATTAATTGTAATTTTCTGAGTCTCCTTATTTTTCATATAAACTGCAAAGAATTTTATTTAACCCAAATTGAATTTATAAAAAAAATTTTAAATTTGTTTATAGAAAGGTTTTTAATGTAATAAGAACCTTAAACTTTTTTTTAGGTATTCTCAGTGTGGAAAGTATAGTGTCATTGTACGAGTTATAAATCTTTCCTCTAAAACTAGCAATTCAACAATTTATGTTAATCTTACAAATGTGACTGTATATTGTTATTTATCAGAAATCAAGCTTGATTACAATAGTTCAAGTCAACTTGTTATACCTGTTAACAATGAGTTCCAGCTTAACGTAAGTCAGGCATCGGGTTCTTATGTGAACTACACTGTTAATTGGGGGGATGGTATCAGTGAGTTTAGGGACCAAAGTCAAAATTTAATTCTTTTACCATTTTTTGCAAAACACATTTACACAAGAGAAGGTAACTACACTATATCTGTGATTGCGATGAATGCAGTACAGACTATGAACAAATCATTTAATCTTTTCGTGTTTAAATCTTCACAGCCAGATATTGATTTTAATTATGGAACTAAAGAAAAACCAATTAGTATTTTACACATTGTTGATTATAATTTTACAGCAAATATTTCTAAAAAGTTGGACAAATCAATCATTGAAAATGCATCTTTTCAGTGGGTGATGTCAGGCCTGGATTTCGAAGTAAAACTCAGAGCAGTTTTTCTTAATTATCATATTGTCTATACTTTAAAAAAAAATGAAATTGCAATTGGCTCATATAATCTTTCACTACTGTTTACATATAACAATTTTACCAGTGTTTTTACTGCTTTTTTTTCTGTCATAAAGATACCCTTGTTTGTTGAAATCGAAGGTGGTTTCTATCGTGCAGTTGCTCATAAGAAGATAATAAATAATAACACTGCTTATAATAATTTTAGTATTAATGCAGAAAAAAGCTATGATCCTGAAGATCCCCAAGCTAAGTTTGAAGGAATATCTTTTCAGTGGAGATGTAAATTAATGAGTAATTTTTCTTCAGGTATCTCAGCAACAACTGATCTTGCGTTTACTTCTAAATTGTGTATAAATGATTCTTGGGTTTTATTGGATGTCAGTGGACCAATTATTTTGTTTAACACAAAGATGTTTTTAGTTGGTGAGACATATATGTTTGAAGTTTATGCTACTAAAGGTTTCGGTTATCATCAACAAGGAGGTTCATTTATTCAAGAAATAACATTTAGTGAAAATGTATTTGATGTACAACTTATGTAAGTTTTACATGTTTGAATTTTTCTGTTTTTTATGTTTACTATATTATACACTTGTGTATATTGTGATTTTTTTAACTTTAAATTTTTAATTAAATATTTTAATGGCTAACTTTATCTATTTATCCCTTAATAAAGACTTTATTTTTACAACAAATTTTTAGTCTGCACAATTTGAGTTCTTTTTTTTTTATTATCTTAAAACGTTTTTTCTTTTCAATTGTTCATTTTCAACCTTTAATTTTTTTTTCAGATTTAAAAAAATAATCCAACTTCTTTTCTTACTCTTCTTTCCACCATTTTTTAAGATTTTTGTCATCTTGACAAAAATCTTCTTTTCAAAATTATCTTTAAATCTGAACTAGAAAAAGATGTGAATCATAATGTATCATATCATCTATGTGAATCTATATACTCATAATGTATACTTATAAGTTAATCAACTTTAAACAAATTTTAACTAAGTTCATAAAATGGTGTTTTTTAGAAATTATAGTAATAATAGTATAGTGATTCTTAATTATGGTTGATAGTGTAAGGTAATGTAATATAATTATGGTAGATAATGTAACATAATTTAACATAATTAAATAATCTTTAATAAAAATTATAATACTTAACATATCTTTTAAATTAAAAAATCTTATAAATTTTAAGATTTCTGGGTATTTAAATTTCTTATTTTAGTTGCTTGATAAACTGTGATGAAAGATTAAATTTTCAACAATCTACAGTTTTTTCATATACTTGTATTGATTGTGAAAGATGCATGTAAGTTGCGAAAATTTTTAAAATATAAGTTTATGATTTTTCCAATGCTTTTATTAACTCCTCATCTCTGTTTGTTTATATCTCTGTTTCTGTCTGTCTGTTTGTTTGTTTTGTTTGTTTGTCTGTTTGTTTGTTTGTTTGTTTGTTTGTTTGTTTGTTTGTTTGTTTGTCTGTTTGTTTGTTTGTTTGTTTGTTTGTTTGTTTGTCTGTTTGTCTGTTTGTTTGTTTGTTTTTATACAGAAAAACGAATAAAAATTTTATAAATAAGTATATTGACTGTTTTCGTACTTATACACGTGTTTAGCATATTTGGATAAGGTGTTGACTTCGTATACGGAGTGTCTGTGGTTCGAGACCCTTATCTTCTTGAACTTTTTTGTTTTATTACATGCGCATACAGCCAAAAAAATTGATTACAAAATTTGTATTTTAATAACATATAAAAGCATTGGGTTTTAAAAACTCGTTTTTAATTTTACTTGTTTTATATATATTAAAAAGTGCAGATAGTTTCATGCTTTTTTAACACTTTTTTATGTTTGTAAAACTTTTTTTTAATTTTTCAATATTTTTTATATATATTCGTAAATTTTTTTTGATAAATATTTGAAATACTTAGAATACAACCATATTGGTCAGTATTAGATGATCAGGAAAACATTCCAAGCGAAGTTTCTAGAAATAATCCTACAAGTTTTAATGACACAAGTTTAATTATTAATGCTGGTGTCTTGCTGGAATCAAAAAACTACACTTTTATCTTACAAGTGGCTTGCACTGGATCGTCCTTCTTATCAACTTTTAAAATAAAGAAAATGACTTGCTCTTTGCCACATTCTGGTTCTTGTTACATTAGGTAAGGTAAAAAAAAATGGTATGTATTTTTTTATTGAAACAAAAAGTTAATAATGAAAAAACTTGTTTTGTTTTTTGTATTTGCCATTTTTAATGTGTTTAGCCCCCTTATTGGATATGCTGTAAAAACAAGTTTTAATATTACATGTGAAGGATGGTCAATTGTAGAAGGTTCATTAAGTTATCTTTTTTTTTATGACAATGGTCAATATAAACTATCAAATAGCAGTAGTGGTTATATGTTGTTGAATTCTAAAACTTTTTATCAATCTTATTTAAATAATATTATTCTTGGAGCTGGCGATGAACATAATAATTATACTGTACAATTATATGTACGTATTGCTGGAAAATATGGAGCTTTTATTGAGTTTAATAGTATTTCTATTCAGGTGGACATTTTTTTCTGAATAAAATTTTTAATAAATGTGTAAATAATTCCTATGTAATAAATATAGAACACTAAATTATGTTTTAAACAAAAATTTAGGTTCTACCAAATCTACAAGAAATGAATTTAACTAACATACTTTCAACTGTTGATAAAAATGATACACAAAAATTAATGATTTCAATTCAAGCCATAGCCTCTGTTGTTAACAGAGAACAAAACTTAATTGAATATAAAACTGTAAGTGTTTTTTTTTCTTACATTAAAAACAAAGTTTATAAATATGTGAATGTTTTTTAAATTGTTGTTATAGTGATGTTATACACATCATTACTACTATTATTACTACTACTTATACTACTGCTACTACTAATACTAATGCTACTACAACTGCACTACTACTACTACTACTACTACTACTACTACTACTACTACTACTACTACTACTACTACTACTACTACTACTACTACTACTGCTACTACTACTACTACTACTACTACTACTACTACTACTAATACTACTACTACTAATACTACTACTACTACTACTACTACTACTACTACTACTACTACTACTACTACTACTACTACTATAACAACAATAATAACAACAACAACTACTACTACTACTATAATCGTTGCAGATGAGCCCTTGTATTGCAAAATTTTAATAAGAGGCAATTGTTTTGCTTTTTAAAGATATTTTTCTTGCAATTTTTTTTCAACTTGCATAGCATAAGGGCTAAAAATGATTCTCCTCACCATGAATTAATATTGCTAACAAACAATTGTTTCTAAAAACCAGGTAAATTTCCCCTAAAAATACCATAGTTCCATCAGTTTTTATATATTCGTCTATTAAGTTTTTCCTACTACTTGTATTTTTTTTTTTTTTTTTTTTTTTTTTGCATTTACTTGAGTTAAGTTACTAAAATGTGTTTAATCAGGTTGGTTTTGTGAAAACCTTTCTATGGTGAATGAACAAATTGAGAAACAGGTGTCTTTTTTCTGTTTCCAGATTTGCATGCACAAGTAGTTGAATTTTTTTATAAAGTTTTCAATTTTACTAAATAAATATAAAAACGTTTTTTTTTTATTATTGAATTATACATAAATAATTATTTACTTAATTGTCTTGGTTTGGGTAGCATGAGACTTTTTTTGTGATGCTTATAAATAAAAGAACCTCAACACTTTTTTATAAGTGTAAAGTGACTATTTTGTGCATTTCGAACAACTTTATTTAGCTATAATTATTCTCATTTTAACTAAAAGGTATCTTTTAATTTATGCAACCCTATTTATTTTTCAAAACTTTTTAAGTTTTTTCTGTGGTTGACCAGGCATGTCTGACCTGATCAATATTTTGGATTTTGTTTACTGTTTGCGGTATTTATTAATTTGCTGATTTTATTGGAGAAAGCGCTTTTGGTTTACCTTACAACTTGGGTCTAACTTTCCATCCACAGCGCGAATTGAGTAATAAAATTGTTTGAGTCTCTTGTAATATACTGTCTTACAAAACACTGTTGTTAAATATAAGCTTGAGTCAATTACAGTTCGCCATTTTGTATTTATCTAAATGCTGACATGGTCAGTTGTTTTATAGCTAAGCATTACTCTTTGCTGTTACTTGAAATTTGGGTTTTTAGTAGTTCTCGATGCTAACCATTAGGTTCTACCAAATCAAGAAATGAAACTAACATACTTTCTACTGTTTATTAAAATGACACACAAAAGTTAATGATTTCAGCCATAGCCTCTGTTGTTAACAGAGAACAAAACTTAATTGAATATAAAACTGTAAGTATTTTTCTTTCTTACATTAAAAACAATGTTTATAAATATGTGAGTGTATTTTAAATTGTTATTAGCAATATTAATTCATGGTGAGGAGAATCATATTTAGCTTTTATGCTAAGCAAGTAATACGCAAATAATATGTATAGGCTTGATTACTCTTTCTCTAGTATACTATATATAGTTTTATTTTTTATGCATATGTAATATATATATATATATATATATATATATATATATATATATATATATATATATATATATATATATATATATATATATATATATATATATATATATATATATGGGCAATTCCACGGTGGTATATAAAAAAGTATTCAAATTATATTCTCTTTTTCTTCAACTTTTAGCAAATGAATATTGATGTAGAGACATAAAAGCTAATTTAAAATTTATCTTTAACATTAAAATTAACTTATTTAAGTCATTTTTATGTTTCTGGAAGTTACAGTTTTTATCATTGTCGCATGATAAAAAAAATCATTGTAAAATGTTATTTTAACCATGAATTTATTTGCATAATCGGAATTATTTTAGCATGAAAATAGAGCTAACATGTTTAAATTGTTTTTGGTCAGATTTTTTACTTTAAAAAATATATTTTAAAAAAATAACGAAAGAGCTTTTACAATTTTCATGTAACGTAAATTAACAAAAACTAAACATTAAAAAAAAAAATAATAAAGTTTTAAATAATAGTAAATAAAATAAACGACCACTTATACCTGAACCCCTTTCCCTCCTAAACTGTGATAGCAGTTTTTACATCAAAAATATTTTCAAAAGATTTAAATGTAAATACTTTGCAGCATTTTAAAAATTCAACCTAATTAAAAAAAGGCATAGTAGTCACTTATAGATTAGGCAAGTAGTCACTTGTCATTGTTAAAAACAATTTATAGCAAACTTATTTCTCCTGCTTTTGACTCCTTTATTTGTGTCTTTTAGACTAATTAAAGGAAAAAAAAAAACCTCTGAATAATTTATAAACTATTTTTAGACAAGATAAGACCAAAAAATAACAGTATATAACAAGTAAAAAATAGCAGATAGGATAATCAAATTTTAACTATTTAAAACAAAAAGATACTTGAAACAAACAGTTACTTGAAACAAACAGATTAATTTAATTTTTGATGAATATTGGAAGGTTCATCAATTAACTAGCAATAAACAACAAATTCAGGTTAATAAATCAATAATAAAATTTATTAAAAATAACAATTAATCTCGGTTTATTATCTAAAAAATGTAGCAAAATAGAAACAAATAATCTTTTTTGTTTTGTTTGCTTTTAGTGACATAAAGACTACATAACATTATATTTATATAATATTTTTACATTGTAGTTAAGAGTTTTATAATTATATAAATAATAACTAAACATTTAAAAAAAAAAAAAACATGGAAGGCTGAAGAACTTATTAATAACATAGAGGGTTGTGTTAATGATCCTTTTTATAAGAAACCCTAAATAAAAAGAGAAAGAAACAGACAGCATTTCCTTGGCACTGCATTAAAAAAGTTTTAAAAGTATGTATATATATATATATATATATATATATATATATATATATATATATATATATATATATATATATATATATATATATATATATATATATTACAGCTATAAAACATATATATAATACAGCTATAAAACATATATATAATAAGAAAAACAACAACATTTATTTATTTTCTGTAAATCATTTTTACAATAGTTTTGATAATAATAATACTAATAATAATAACAATTATGTATTATAATAACATAAGATTAAAAAAAAAAAAATTTTACAAATTTATAATAATAAGTTAATAATAAGTAACTTATAATAATAAGTTAATGATTTATTAGGATGGTGTCATACAGAAATCTGATCAAAGGAGTGAAAGTAATTTTTAATATAAAGTAATAATAAGCAGACACGCACTAAAACACATGGACCATAAACACACAGACCAAAGCACATAAAATATACATAAAAAGAAACATGTAGAAATTAATTTGCAGGTTTTAATAATGAAAAAAAAGAAAAAAATAAACCAAAAAGTACTGATTATAATTGTAGTAATTATGAAAAGAAAATTAAAATAATATTTTAGTCATAAGCATAATAATGCCTAAAAGTTAGAATATTAAGTTTTTTAGAATTTTTTAAAATTGATATTGTTTAAGATGGAGTAAAGATATTTTAGGATATATTTTTTGGACTCATACATGCAAAATACATGCAAGGCTCCTGTTCCATTCACAGACACACTTATAAACAATAGAATGTTTACCATACTTCTGGGTTTTAAAAGATGGTACATTTAGTTTTCCATTGTGTATATTTCTAGTTGAGTAGGAATGTAATAGTATACTTTCTGTGAACAAGTTTGTGATAGGAGATGGTATGTTTTTATTTAATGAGTCAAAAACAAAAAGAAGATTAGCATACTTTACTAGCACTGGAAGTATTGGAATAAAAAGTTTTTTTAAGGACTTCGATGTATCTGAATTATTTAGTTGAAAGTTTATTAATCTGATGTATTGACGCTGAGACAATAGCAACTAGTTAATGCGATAGTTTCCAAATTGACCCCAAACTTGACAACAATAGCTAAAAGGAGATGAGAATAATTTATACTAAATATTCTTAAGTGTAACTTTATCGACATAATGACAAATTATTGAAAGCATATCAATCTTGCTTAATTAATCAATATGAAAGCTCCATTAAAGATTGCAATCAATTAACTCCTAAAGTGTTAATCAATTAACCCCTAATTTCAAAATTAATTAATTATTTAAAGGATACAACCTTTTATTATTAATTTTGATTTTGATATCAACACTTTTAGAAAATTGTTTTTTCTCGGAAATGAAAAAAAAAATAGTTCAGTTTTTTCGGTATTGAAACATATTAGGTTAGCATTTAACCACTGAACTATACTTTTTTGATCCGAATTTATGTTTTTACATAAAGAGTCAATCAATCTGTATCATCAGCAAACAGATGAACTGACAAGAAGTTAACAGAGTTGATTAGGGCATTAATATTTAACATTAAAAACAAAAAAGGACCTAGAACAGAACCTTGAGGAACACCACACAAAACTGATTTATTACTATAATTGAAAACCATTAATACTTACAAATCGTTTTCGATCTGAAAGATAAGATCGAAACCAGTCATTTATAATACTGCGAATTCCATAATGTTTTAATTTAGAAATCAAAATACTATGGCAGGCCTTGTTGATGTCAAAAATCTTTAATTTTTTTTTTTGTATTTTAAGTGTTTAATTACCGCAATAAATAAATAACTGCTAACTAGTTCAATTTAACAATTAACTCAAATAACTAAAAACGCTTTAAATGTAAATAAAATGTAAAGTATATTATGAAAAGTTTGTTATGTTTCCAATTG